ATATATATATATTTTATTTTTTTTATTCCTTTGATGCAAAGATTAATTTTCAGTATCATTCCAGTGTCACATGATGCTAATATGGCTTCATATTTTTGGGGGGTTGTTTAATTTATAGAAATTTCAAAAGAACAGCATTTATTTGAAATTGAGATACTTTGTTACATTGCAAATGTTTTACTATTATAGTTGATCAAATTAATGCGTCCTTGCTGAATAAAAGTATTCATTTCTTAATAAAAAAAAAACACCACCATCTACCAGACCCCCGACTCCACTCCTAAAACTGAGAGGGGAAGATAGACCAAAAAAATTAAAAACTTGCAGTAAAACTTTTGTTGTAATGTCACAGAGAAAGTAAGTCTTTCATGATGTCACTGCCACAAATTTTGTCAGAACGATCAAAACATTATTTTTTAAAAGGAAGATATGCATAAAAGCATAACAGGGTTGAATAGAAAGTGCCGGGACAAAGAAACATTCTATATTTTATCATAAAGTACATAAAGAAATACTTATTTTGAATTCAATTAAAAAAAAGTTGTTGGTAGCATTTGTTTTTGCCTATATTCTTATAATTATAAACAATTAAAGTGTAATAGTGATGAATGAATGGCTAGCTATTTAATTCAAGTGATAGTTTCTTCTTCTTTTCCTTTCGGCTGTTCCCTTCAGGGGTCGCCACAGCGAATCATCTGCCTCCATCTAGCCCTATCCCCTTCTGCATCCTCTTCTCTCAGACCGACTACCTTCATGTCTTCCTTCACTACATCCATAAACCTCCTCTTTGGTCTTCCTCTCGGCCTCCTGCCTGGCAGCTCTAACCTCAGCATCCTTTTCCCGATATATTCACTCTCCCTCCTCTGAACATGTCCAAACCATCTCAATTTCCTAGCTAACCTCTTCCTCTGGATACTCTCCCGAACTTCCTCATTCCACCACCAAGTCTCCTTGTCTTCTTTCCTCCTTCCAGATGACACACCTAGCTCTATTTATCCGGGCTTCGGACCGGCACAAAAGGTACACTGGCTTGTGACCTCCTGTGGCTAGATTTTATTATATCTAAATACTGAGATTAGTTTCAGGATGTGGCATTTTTCTTATTAATTATATCAGCAGCAAGTAACGAGGATGAAAACGCCAGCAATTCTCGATAATGATCCAGACTGGCATTTATGTAGTTAAAAAAAGGAAACAAATAAATATTTCACTTGCATTAATTTATTAAGTGTTCACTGAATACATATAATTTTACAGGGGGAAGTAAAGAAGAAAACAAAGCTTCCTTTTAAGGTTTTACAGTGAAAAGATAACATCCTCAATTAGACTTCTGTCGCTGTATGCAAACTATTTAAAACAGCGGACGGATTTTAAAACCAATAGACTGGTATAAACATTATGAAAATACAAGACCACCTTCAAATGTCATGTAGAGTTCACAAAGTATGAATATTTCCAATGCCATGTATGTGTATGAATGGGTTGCACAGTTTACTACTTAAAAAGCTAGAAAATGGATAGGAATATATTATTCAGACACTGCAGACGCTTAAACAGAACACTTACCAAATGCAGAGAGGGGAGTTCACTAGATGCACAGAGACTAAATGCCAGCTAAATTAAGCAGTCAATATAATCATTACTGTTTGCAGATATATGTCAAGATAATCATATGAGGGGAAAAAACAAACAAACAAACAAAAAAAAAAAAACTCAGATATCACTGGACCATGTATATTAAAGTGTCCCCGATGTCCATTTTCAGGCCGTTATCACTCATATGAACTTTGTTTTCCTGCAGGTTGACGTGGAAGACTGAACTGTTTGAGATGGGGATCTTACCCTCCTCTTCCTTCCCCAAAACTGGGATTCTCCGAGGTCCGAGGATTGGGTCCTCAAAACGCATCAGCTTCACTTTGGATAAATCTACAAATTTGACAACAGCGTTATTTAAAAACAATGGCAACATTAGCATGCAAGTGGCATCAAAGTATTTGGATACTTCAGTTATACTTTCAAATGTGTTTTTTTTTTTTATCTTATAGCCTTGAATTAAATCTCTTAACAGTTTTGTGAAAACCTTGTAACGGTTTCAACTTTGCTAAAATAAACACAAGTAATCTTTACCCTTGATGCCTCTGTTGACACGGGATAGTCTGCGGATGATGCTGTCTTTGCTGTCTCCCTGTCGGATGTCAATCCTGGTGGAGAACAGACCGTTGGCTGGCTGAGGGTTCACCAGTGACACTAACACTCCAGACTACGAGAGAAACAGAGGTCACCGCTGAAGATGATGCTACATCATACAGATCATGAGACATGGTTTATGAGACACTTTCTGCCTCATACACAGGATTCCCCAAACCATCTGGCCAATATATTTTCAGTGGTCTATGATTATTAGATAAATACAGATATAAAATACAGATTTAAATTTGTCAAAAGGAAAACCTAGGTTGTCCTTTTGACAAATTTAAATCATATTATATGTAACATCTGTATATATATATATATATATATATATATATATATATATAT